ACACACACACACACACACACACACACACACACACACACACACACACACACACACACACACACACGCGCGCGCGCGCGCGCGCATACCTCCGCCAGCGACTTACGCCATACGACTCACGAACACACGAATAACCCACGATATACGCCAGCGTACATGTATGCTCGCTCGCCGCTCAGTCAGCAGCAGCCGGCTGTGGCTGGCTCGCTCGCTGACGCGCTAATATCAATCGCGTCACACACACACACGCACGCACGCACGCACGCACGCACGCACGCACGCTAACGTGTACACGAACGCACAGACCCGATCACATAACCTCCCCTCCACTCCGTGGGCGGAGGTAAAAATAAGATAGCATGTAGAGTATTATTAGAGGTCAGTCTTGAACGTTGACTCCCAAGGAAATAACACCTTGACATCGATTATCAAATTAAGCACAGGTTTTATATGGATTGAATTTCGACACTTAATTTTTCGATTTTTCGATGAAAGTGGTCCAGCTTGTAGGCTACATCACTCATTTTTGGGCGATCCCCTTATTATTTGCAAGAATCTTCTTCTTCTTTACCTTTTCTTGCAAATGATGGGGAAGGGGGTGACCCCCCCACCCCACTCATCATTTGCAAGACATTTGCAAGATGTTTCTTTTTCTTTTTCTTCTTCTTCTTTTTTTCCTTTTTCTTTTTCTTTTTCTTTTTTCTTTTCTTTTTCTTTTTCTTCTTCTTTCCATTCTCTTGCAAATGATAGGGGGCGACCGCCCCCCCTGCCCCCCCCTGTGGCGCCGCCCCTGTCCGACACTTACTCTTCGCATGTCAGCGGAAAGTACATTTCATGGTCCTTTCAATAAAGCCATAAAATGGTAGGTCACCGCTGAAACAAAAAGGTTTTCAATCGCTCCGTCAGATCATGTCCTCAGAAAATGTCTAAAATCTGCCCTGTGCCCCATTGACCTTTGACCTGTGACCTCCAATTTCGGCACAGTGATGACTTTTCCTACCATGATGCTATACACAGACTATCGCGAGCCTAGGTCGAGCCGTTTAGATTTGTGCCGCAATTCTGCGCATTTCCTCCCTATACCTTAGGGAATGTTCCCCTTTCTTTTACACCTCTTTACCTTTGACCTTTGACCCCCAGCTTCGACATCCCAACTCGTTTTCGGATTACCCCCTCCCCCCACGTCCCGACTTTCGAATCCGTACGTCGAGCCGTTTAGATTAATATTGTGCCCAACTGTTGACGGACGGACGCACGGACGCACGCACGGACAATCATGCGATTCTACAAGCTGCATCTGACTACGTCAGATGAGCTAAAAATCAAGAAATTAAAAATAATACATACTAGAGGTAAATAAAGGAAAAAAAAGAAAAAAAAGGGGAAAATAAGTTCCCCAGCTGAGACTCGAAACCCGGAATCCCGGTATAGGAGACGGATGTTCTAGCGATTAGGCCACTGTGCCGTGAAGGGTATATACCCATAGTTCACACGTACGTGATGTTAATCTGTACGCACCGAAAATAAAAAATTTTACTTTTTAGAATTTTTGTCCCAGACGTGCTGATTCTGAAAATATCTTTAGTTTTCCTCTAGGCTGCGGAGTTCTCTATAGTTATGCGAGTACGAACTAATTCGGCTGAACAACTTTATATATATATATAGATATGTCTATATACACACACACATATATATATGTATACATATTTTTATAATGCACATAAGTCTATATACTGTATCCATATTTACGATTCGTGAAATAGTTTCATACACCTAAATACTATATTTCATGCAAAACAGGGCCGTAGGCTGAACAAATTCCTAGGGGGGGGGGGCAGTGGCGGAAGCAGGATTTCAAGGAGGGGATGAGAAACAGGTGGGGGTCTGGGGGTCCAATTTTGAAAATGTAGATAGCAGGAGATGGTATTTGAGGCACTTTTGAGTACATGTACAGCCTTCATTCTGACTACAATTCTCTTTTAGTAAAACAATTTCTTTTTTTAATTTTGCTCCAAAATCTAGAGGGGGGCAGCTGCCCCCCTTGCCACCCCCCGCAGGCTACGGCCCTGCAATACCCCTTCCATTGCTGTGAACATGATACAG